ATGATTGCGGTTTTTAGTGACTTTGGCGCATTTGGTTTTGAGTGGGAGCCGGCGTTCGCGATACCCTGGATCATAATTTTTTTATTTCCTCATCATGCGAAAATCACAGACGAGCGAGCAATTCGTACATCGATGTTAAGAATCCCGCATCATGAACCTTTCGACACCGTCGCTAAGTCATTTCTTCCAGAGCTTCTTTTATCTATTTATTTTTATAATTTTTATAATTTTATAATTTTTTTTATCTATTTTATTTTTTATTTTTGCGAGGCAACTGAAAATGCAGACGCGCAACAACCACTTCGCGCGCAAACTTCTTCTGTGAGACATTAACGCAAACGATCGCGCATATTTAATTAGCCGCCATCCAGCAGTAAGGTCATCACTGCCTGCACACAGAAGCGAAGAACGCGGGTGTTGTAGACGTCCATGTCTATAACACGGTGATATATGACGCTTGATGCGATGTTAATAAGACTATAAGTAATATAGCTACAAGTAATGTTAAGGCGGGTGTAAGTAATGACACATCATTGGTCGTGCAGGACTATTAGCTGCAAACAACTTTATTATTATCAGGTATCTAGGTATTATCATCGTTTGATAAATATATATATATATCAGGAGTTAATAAAGAGTAATTATTCTTTACAAGACATTTGTCTTTATTAACTCCTGATATATATGTATATGTATATATATATATATATATCACGCAGCAGCAGCAGCGTCACCACACGCAGTAACATGGAACCGACACCGTCACGGAGGGCGCAGCACAGACTGCCATTTAATACTCCCACCTATTATGCCTCAATTATCGAAGCCTCTGCAAGTTCTAATGAACGCATTGATGGCAAACGCGCGCTGCTCGCCCACTGTCAACAAATAAATTATATATATATATGTATACACACACACACACACATATATATCTATATCTGGGTCAACGAAACTGTAAATTAGGCTGTATATAGTATGGCGGTGAGTACAACACCTAGCACAGCGCACGACACTATATATACTCCTCTACATCGTCTGTATATATGAGTAATACATACACGCATGATACTCACTGTTGTAGCTCGACATATAAAGCCGTATATATATAATGTCTCGACGTTCGCCACCACAAACAAAGCTCGTTTCATAGAACATTGATACATTGTATTCGCCGTTAACTAACGTAAGCTAGACGATAGTTTCATATTGCAATTAGGTAGCACGTGTTTTGTATTCATACTCTAATTTCGTTTGCCAAGCTACCTCGCCAGTCATTTACCGCTCCCGTATACACTGGATTAATATGAACGGATAGTGCCTCGTTGTGCTATCTCCAGTAAGGAGTTGATTACAGTGTCGTGAGATCGTGGTCGATACACATCGTAGCTCATCGCCAAGCTAGATAAAACGCGTTTATTATATATGTGCATGCTGAGGATAGTCGCTATCGCGTTGAACACGTGTCACGTATGTGTACATATAGCGACGTGCTGCGCGACGTGGTGATCACGCAAGTACCGCGTGACAAGACACAGCACGATGGTGACAGCGACAATTGTCACAGCACGATGGTGACAGCGACAATTGTCACAGCACGATGGTGACAGCGACAATTGTCACAGCACGATGGTGACAGCGACAATTGTCACAGCACGATGGTGACAGCGACAATTGTCACAGCACGATTGTGACAGCGACAATTGTCACAGCACGATGGGAGTGCAATGATCATCATGACACGCTCTGCATCGGCTGCTGCGCGGTGTTCGTTTACATAGCGGAATGGTCGCAGGGAGTCACATATGGACCTTTGTCAATAATTGACCCTTGTTGTCCTCTTGTACCTATAATACCTTAAATACCTATAATACCTATAATACCTCTTGTACCAATAATTGACCTCTTGTAATTGACCCTTGTCAATTATTCACAGTTCATGCACTCGTATTGCACCAAATACACTACACTCAGACGCACTGGAGTAGGCTACCGCGAACACATGTTTTGTTTATTTGTACGTGTATATGGGGGTAGACTTATGCTCAGGGTAATAGTATTATATTTTCTTATCAATTCTATCAGATTTGTTCGGTTTGTAAAAGGCTGTGTTCAGTACATGTATTTGTATTTGAATTACATGAAATAAAGATATAATAATAATAATAATAATAATAATATTATTATTATTATTATTAATAATAATAGTAACACTAAACATTCAGGGTAATAGTATGTTCAGGGCAATAGTATGTTCAGGATAATAGTATGTTTAGGATAATAGTATGTTCAGGGTAATAGTATGTTCAGGATAATAGTATGTTTAGGGTAATAGTATGTTCAGGGTAATAGTATGTTCAGGATAATAGTATGTTCAGGGTAATAGTATGTTCAGGGTAATAGTATGTTCAGGGTAATAGTANGTTGTCATTTATCGTTAACTATAAAGCTAACGATAGTTTCTATTGCAATTAGGTAGCCGTGTTGTGTATCATGTCTAATTACGTTTGCCAAGCTACCATGCCATCATACAACCCTATATATATATATATATATATGAACGGATAGTGCTCGTGCTATTCCGTAAGAGTATACACATCGTAGCAGGAGTAAGATAATATAGAATCTATATAGTAGATATAGTAGATATAGTAGATAATATAGAATTCTATATTATCTTACTCCTGATCGTAGCTCATCGCCAAGCTAGATAAAACGCGTTTATTATATATGTGCATGCTGAGGATAGTCGCTATCGCGTTGAACGCGTGTCACGTGTGTGTACATATATATATAGCAACGTGCTTGCGCGACGTGGTGATCACGCAAGTACCGCGTGACAAGACGCGTGACAGCGACAATTGTCACAGCACGATGGTGACAGCGACAATTGTCACAGCACGATGGTGACAGCGACAATTGTCACAACACCATGGTGACAGCGACAATTGTCACAACACGATGGTGACAGCGACAATTGTCACAGCACGATTGTGACAGCGACAATTGTCACAGCACGATGGGAGTGCAATGATCATCATGACACGCTCTGCATCGGCTGCTGCGCGGTGTTCGTTTACATAGCGGAATGGTCGCAGAGAGTCACATATTGACCTTTGTCAATAATTGACCCTTGTTGTCCTCTTGTACCTATAATACCTTAAATACCTATAATACCTATAATACCTCTTGTACCAATAATTGACCTCTTGTAATTGACCCTTGTCAATTATTCACAGTCCATGCACTCGTATTGCACCAAATATACTACACTCAGACGCACTGGAGTACTACCGCGAACACATGTATTGTCTATTTGTACGTGTATATGGGGTAGACTTAATTATGCTCAGAGTAATAGTATCATATTTTCTTATCAATTCTATCAGATTTTTTTTTCATGTAAAAGGCTGTGTTCAGTACATGTATTTGTATTTGAATTACATGCAATAAAATTTTTATAATAATAATAATAATAATAAAAATAATAATAATAATAATATTATTGTTATTATTAATAATAATAATAGTAACACTAAACAGGGTAATAGTATGTTCAGGGTAATTATAGTATGTTCAGGATAATAGTATGTTCAGTGTAATAGTATGTTCAGGGTAATAGTATGTTCAAGGTAATAGTATGTTCAGGGTAATAGTATGTTCAGGATAATAGTATGTTCAGCGTAATAGTATGTTTAGGGTAATAGTATGTTCAGGGTAATAGTATGTTCAGGG